CTGCAAACAATGAACTTGAACGAAATGAGAGGACCAATGACTTGAATTTGAAGGTGAGCATTCCATTTTTTCTTGTCATTCTGGAGCTCATTGAATCTCTCCAAAAACTGTGAGTTTGAGAAAAAAAATCACCCCTCACAGCAGAGTTCTCTTGTGTTGTTAGGAAGTTTGATCCTTTTGGTTTAACCATTTCTGACTTGGGCCATCATTACATCTGACAGAAGGAAAAGGCAGTAAGGAAATCAATTTGGTCCTAATCTTTTAAATTCTCAATTTGGGTACTTGTCTTTGGCAGATTCAAGCGCTTTTGAGGAAACAGAAAAGAGGTAGGTTTTATAGACTTGCTAATGATGTTCATGCTGAGTGTAACTATAGATTCAATGGATGTAGAGGTACTGGAATTTGAGGATCTGAAAGGCCACTTATGGGAATTGTCAGAAAGGTTGATGAGTAGATGGTTGCTTGTGAGGTGAGTGGAGATTGATCATCAAAGTTGATGAGTAAATGACACTTTGATGATCATTTGGGGTGTGTGTGTGGGTTTTTGTGGGTATGGGTACAGGTAATGCTATGCAAGGAAACATGCAAGGAAGGGAATGAAGTGGGCGTGGGTCCAAGGTCTACCCATGATGAATATGCATATTCTTGATGAATACATGTATACATGACATGGATATGTGTATACATCACATATATGTGGATACATGAATATATGAATACAAGAATATGTGGATACATGAATACATGAATACAAGAATACACATATATGTGGATACATGGATACATGAATACATGAATACAAGAATACACATATATGTGGATACATGAATACACATGTATACAGGGATTCCACATATATGATAATGAGCTCAAGTGGAGAATCCTGAATTTAAACAAGATCTGCTTCCACAAAAAAAATTGATTATGCTTGTGTAGATTTGTACTGTTTAGAAAGCTGGCTGAATATATTTTCAAACCCTGTCCATCAAACATCTAGAGGATAATCTAGGTTTCTAAACTCTATGGGAGTACTTTAGCTGCCTATCACACTCTTTGTACATGACTTACATGAATTAATATGGATGTAGAGTTATGAGATGTCATTCAAGGTATATTGAGAATAATATTTCAACTTTGAATTGGACAGGGGAGTGGTTATTTTGTGAGGCAGGTAGCCTCGTTTACTTGATGATGCAGCATCTCTGTTCAGCTTCATGACTGGAGCTGGCAGTTATTGTGGAGCCAGTGGTAATTGCAGCTTCACAAGTGCTGTCAAGAGCCTCCACAACCAGACTTGTCAATTTTGTGAGTCACAAGACCTGAGCTGAGACTGATGTGGGGGAGAGTTGCCGAGCACTTATACATGCTTAGCTCAACCTGTTACCACAGAATAGGTGGCACATGACCTGAGGCCTGAGGGGAGTGCTTTCTTTCTTTGGCTTTTACTCCAAATGTTTAACCATAGCCAAGCCCCTTCACCCATTTAAGGTTTTAACGACATCGTTGATTGTCAATTTACTCATTCCATTTTATTCCAGGTTTCTCTTCCTATATGCATACATCAAATTACTGATATATTGAACTTCTTTGATCCCATACAACATATGCTTCCCAGCTTGGCTCACGACTCTGCTCACACACACCTAGCTGAACTGACACAACAACCATGTGGCACAGAACCATGACATACACTATGGATACATGAATACAAGAATACATGAATACATGAATACAAGAATATGTGTATATGTGGATACCTGAATACAAGGATACAAGAATATATATATACATGGATACATGAATACAAGGATACAAGAATATATGTATACATGGATACATGAATACAAGGATACATGTATATGTGGATACCTAAATACAAGGATACACATATGTGGCACAGAACCATGACATACACTATGGATACATGAATTCAAGGATACATGAATGCATGAATACATGAATACAAGAATACTTGTCTACATGGATACAAGGATACAAGAATATGTGTATACATTGATACATAAATACAAGAATATGTGTATATGTGGATACCTGAATACAAGGATACAAGAATATATGTATACGTGGATACATATGTAGATACCTAAATACAAGGATACACATATATGTGAATACCTGAATACAAGGATACAAGAATATGTGTATACATAGATACAAGAATACAAGAATACAAGAATATGTGTATATGTGAATACATGAATAGTATATATGGATACGTATACATGAATACAATTATACAATTTATACTCAATACTCTGTCTAGTATGATGATATCTTCTATCATAAAAAACATTTCGATACTCTCTCATTGTTCAAACAAGCAAGGTATTATTATCATACTTCAATCATACTATTCTATTACTCTCATACCAATCTCTATATCCACACTATACTATCATATAAGTACAATTCTTCTTATCATTGGAGTTAGTATACCCATTTTATACCATTCTCATATTATATTATATACTATCATGATATACTTCCAATACTCCTCTTCTAGTATTTAACTAGTATTTAATCCTCACATTAAAACTATTCATTTTGTATTACTATACCTATCTGATACCATTCTCATATTATATTGTGTAGTATTATGATATGCTTTCAATACTCCTCTTCAAGTATTCAACTAGTATTTAATCCCCACCTCAAAATTACCAAATTGAAATTTGTATACCCTTCTGATACTGACATGATATTGTATTGTATAATATTATGATATATCTTCATTACTTCTCATCTAGTATTGAATCCTCACATTAAAATTGTTGATTTTAAAATTCTGTTCAATGTCATACCCTTCACATACTTTTTGAATTTCCATACACCAGTATTATGCTGTTATTATAAAAGTATGAAATGTAGCTTTCAAACAGTATGATAAAATATCGTAGCATACTATTTGGATACTCTGCCTGCAATATTTAAAGAGTATATAGATATTTCACTCTCATACTTTTTCCATACCAACAAAATACCTGTCAGGCAGTATTGTTTGTTTGTTCTTGATACTAACACAATACTGGCATCTCAGTATGTTGGTCATCTTTAATGAATATCTGCTTAATATTGTGTTAGTATCCAATATGAAAATGCGATATATTTTCATACTTTCAAGATATTCCCTTTATATCTACTCTCTAGTATCATATAAGTATCTTTTGAATATTATATATAATATTTTTAAAGTATCTTATCCTGAAGAATCATACTCTTAAAATATTGGCCGATCAGTATGTTGAAGATATTTTGTTCAAAGTTAAGATACTGTGATAGAAGTATTATTCTAGTATGTGACCCAGTATTGAGGAAAAACATTTGAATACAATCAAAATACTAATCAGATACTTCAGCATGGATAATAAAATATATATCTTCATACCAATCACATACCTGGTGGATGGTATTTTGGGAAAATTTTATGTACCATCAAAATACTCTCAAAATATTCTCACGTCAGTATGTTGGAATGTTTGCAGTGTTAGTGGGGTAAGGTAACTAATACTTGTGCCCCTCGACCTCCAGTTTCTCATCCAGGGCTTCCTTGACCCCAGCGACATTGTTTCGCTGAGAATGGTGAAATCGCTCCCTCTGTATATCAAATCACTGACCTCTGATCTCGAAATAGACTTGCAATTTGTTCTATCTAGCCTCTCAACAGCGCACCGTGTGGCTTTCTGCCCTGCAGCGCGTTTGTATCGACCACCGGGCATTTATGCCTAGCTTCCCTTTTGAAAATATGTCTGTCAAAGAGCTAGAGCACGCGGCTTTGTCTCCTTCTCAGCTTGTAGATCGTTTAAAAAATGGCTCATCCAACAAAGCACTGGAGCCCCAGAGGATACTTCCTTTTGAGCCGTTGGATTCTGAAGCACAGCCCTATAGCTTCAGCTGGCTTTATCTCATTCCGGGCGGTCGCTTTCTGTTTACCGAGTCAGCCAGGAAGGATCACATCGCTTTGTGGGACCTTGGAAACGTTGGAACCAGAGAGGAGATGACTTGGCTGCCTGTCGCCGTGATTGATGATGGTCGGCTTGTTTTAATGGACGCCTGCCCGACTGCTGATGAGACTGGGCTTTTATTATCCACATACTATGTTCTCCATCCGTGAGCGCTAATTTCACCTCTGCGTAGCTTGATCCTCAATCACTTCACAAGTTCCTCCTTTGACCCCTGGCAGTGCCAAGTGGTGATATATGAGATCTACCCCTCAACGCCGGATCCAGAGTTTACACCCAAAGGAGAGTTAAATGTAAATGCATTGATTGACATAAGCTCCAACGCTGGTGGCTGTTTCGTATTCTTAACTGAGATGGACGAGATTGTCCTTTGGAATCTGGCTACTAACGACTCCATCACTTGGGAACCTCCAATCATCGTGACAATACATAAAGTGCATTCAATTCCGCTTATAGCCAACTCATTAAATCAACCAGCCATTTCATCCTTTTAGCTATTTCTGATGGATCATTACTTGATTATTCTGAGCTCCGTCGACATCACGATGTGGGAGATACCAATTTTTTGGAAAGAAAGGTGTGACGGTGACCTCAGAAGCAGCTCCGCCGCGGACGCCTTTGGTCCCTTGCAGCCCAAACTGAAGCACTCCCTGAAATACCCCATATTTTCTGAACCTGCCATTTTCTCGTTACCCTCATCGTGGTGGCCATCCTCCAGCGATGCAGAAATTGGCGTCAGTCCAGAAGGAAACACGTCGGGAGACAAAATGGCCTTTTACATACTTGATTCAGGCCCGATCCCCAGCTGGGATAGGCCAAGGGTACGAATTGTGTCCTTTGTCGGGCTAACCATCCTAAGTGGCAGACCCCATTATTTGCGTTTATGCAACAATAACATCTGCCAACGATGGCACTCCGACGGGGATGATATTGTAATCGGTCTGATGGCCACTCCAACTCAGACAAATGGATTTGGAAGCGAATGTATGGCTATAACCAGGTCAATTTTTTGTGGTCCGACACAAGATTCCGACTTCTGCCCAATATCTGGTCGACTTGTAATAATAACAAAGGATAGTAGATTGTGTGTCATGGACTTTGTCGCTCCACCAACTTGACCACTGCGTACGTTTTCCATAAAGGTTCTATCAATGACTTACTCAGATCCAATTGCCCCAGGTAAACTGGCTGTCGGTGGTAACTGGAATTTAACCTGACGACTTACTTACGAGGTAAACAGATCCTCACTCTCATAAACTTTTAAAGTCCTGATTGTAATGGCCAGTAACAATGATTCGACCAAATCTTATGACCCTTCGGACTCGGAGTCGGCTCAAGTGAAAGCGCAAAGAAAACCACCGTGACGCCGCCTCTCCTCCTCTATGGGAAGCTCGAGCATTTGAACCTCCAATTTAATCGACCGAAAGATTTGCTGAGCATTACACTTCTGCTTTTATTCGTGATTATTGAATGCCAAATTGCCTCAAATTGCTTGACTCCACGGTGGATCTACTTCTTCCCGATCTCCAATTTCATCAGGATTTCCTCATCCCCAAGAGTGCTGGTAAATCGAACTCTCTTTACTAGCTTGACTCGGACGATAACTAGTCGCTTAGTAAATATTTTGCAATTGGTTTTTCTTCTTTACATATACCCGCCTGGTTAGTACGTAGATACTTTCTTCCGACGACCAGTCCGATGTCGAAGACACGTGCCTACACTGCAATATAGGCGCTGGCGAGACTTGTACTTCTACTTGCCTCCACGATGTCGTTGCCTCTTCCCCCAGAACTAATCCGCGAAATCATCTATTTCCTGATCTTGTCCGCCCCTCCGCGCTCCTCTACCCCAGAAGACCCCGGCTGTTCAACGAAACCCAGTTGGCACGCACTCAATGCGTTCAGTCTCACCTCAAGAACGTACCGTGCCCTCATCCTTGAAGCTTGGTTCTGCACCCTCTATATTGAGTCACCTGAGGACTTGGAACATGTAAGGTGCTGTTGGCCCGAGGTGGGAGCAAAATGGACTAGGCACCTACACTGCGTCCAACCTCGGAACAGCAGCTCCCTCTCCCTTTGGGACCTCTCCTCTCTTCTGCACCTCTCCTCCATCCGGGTGGATTGGCTTTCACCCATCCTCATGCGATCTATCTATCCCCGCCTCAGTCCGACGTCATCAGGCATGCCTTTCTTCAACTTCTCCTCCTCGGTCGAACACCTTGACCTGCGCGGATTGGTGTGGCCTACTCCTCAGGTGCTCCAGAATATCCCTCGCACCCTGGGCCTTGAGCATCTGAAGACTTTAAAAATGAAGCATCACACGTCATGGTGTGGGCTCTGCGGTATGTCCTATAAGCTCCGATTCAAGGACAGGCCGACCATCATATATGAGGGGGGTTATGGGTTGCCTGTGAGCTCTAGTTTGCTTGATTTCCGAGCATTTTGTGATAACGACATTCTTAGATCGACTATGCGCGCGTTCTGACCCCGCTTGAATACCTCGAACAAGTCGTGATCACTGTACCCAATAGCGGCCTTGGGTCGACCACACTTGGTCACACCCCAACAACCCCAGATCCAGACCCAGAAACAAATTCGAATCCAAATCTATGGGCGGGGGAATGCGACACTTGCATAAAAAGCAAGTATGAGGATGACGCCTTCCGCCAAAAGTGGGTGGATAGGAAGAGGGGTGTCGGTGTGTGCTGCGATGATGATGGCAAGAAGGATACGAGGCCACCCAAGTTGAGGAGAGTGGAATGGCGGTTTAGTGGCGGTCCTTGAAGACACCCGATACCAGTGATTTATAGGCTGTACGTCTTTCGAATCAAACGAGGCAGCAACAACACTCACCTAACAGCAGGTACAAAAATGAACTGAACTTTGCTGGTATCATATACATTCACGATATATCATCAACATGTATTTTTTGAAACAAGGCTGGATAGCCTGAACTTTTTGTTGAAACTACAGTTGAATCCGCGGAATGTTGGTTCTATGCACGACAAAGTGGTCAGTCCCCTACAACTCAGCCTAGGCCGAAGAGCATCGGACCGAGCAGCTTTGGAGCAGCTTGACGACGACTATTGGAAGAAGCGATCGAGAGGGGATTGACTGTCCACAAATTCGAGAACTCCCATGAATTTTCCTGAAAGGCGGTCAACTTGATCATCCAGGCAAACGGAGAGAGGCACTCGGGAGTCGGAACAGTGATTTGGAAGCTTCGGGGCTCAACTTGATTGTCTTTGGATGTCAGGAGACTTCAAGTGGGTTAGTCTCCTCCCCAGAAATCGCTGCCGCTCAGTCGGGCATAATTACTGAAATCAGGAGTGGTCATGCCAGTACCTACGCCCAGTGCGTACCTAATCGCAGTCTGAATACTTCAGTTTGAAGGATTTTGAACTTGTCAATCTTTATTTGGCGACTGGTTGACCCGTCTCTTTCGTGTTGGAAGACAGCACTCAAATGCAATCGGATCCGATGGAGGTCCGCAGAGTCCACCGCAAAGCTCGTGGGATGTTTCTTGAACCTCAAAACGCTGATGTGTATTCTCAGCTATTCTCAGGCTAGTCGTCTCTGCCGGTCAATAGCAAGTTTCCTCTACATAGCACCCTAATCTACATTCGCTTCATCGTCATCTCCTTCGGTTATATTTGTTTTACTTAGTTCCCAGATATTTCGGGTTTTGCACTTTCTTTGGGTATGGAGATTTTGCCGGATCAGCGTCGTACTACCTAGACGTATCTAAAAGGTTCCCCACACCCCAGACTCATTTTACAAACTAAAACTACCTTCACGATGTTTGCTTTCCCCATTCTCGTTTCTTGTGCCCTCTCAAATTTCCGATGCTAATATCAACGTCTTCTGCCATGCCGTGCGAAGCCCATCACCACACACCATCATCTAGTTCACTTCAATTTCCGCCTCGTGAGCTAATCCGCCTCCCACTGCATCACCCGCAACGCTGAGCGTAATCTGACAAACGTACCACGCTCCCGAGTTGCTGGAGGCTGAAAACGAGAATTTGAACGAGACCGTACCATCGACGACTCGGAGGTTCACAATGTCTCTACCCCTAGAACTCGTCCGAATAATCATCGACCTCCTGCTCTTCTCCGCCCCACCACGCTCCTTGACTCCAGAAAAGCCTGGCTGTTCAACTAAACCCAGATGGAGCACGATCAATGCGCTCAGCCTCACCTCACAAAGCTACCGCGCCCTAGTGCTCGAAGCGTGGTTTCAGAGTCTCTACATCGATTTTCCAGGGGATCTAAACTTTCTACGAGACAGGTTTCCTGAGCTTGGGAGTAAATGGACCAAACACCTCCACTGCATCCAATCATACCACAGTGACAACCTTTATGTCTGGAATCTCTCTTCCTTCCTCCGCGTTTCCTCCATTAGACTGGACTGGCTCTCGCCGGCTTTCTCCTTCCCAGTTGACTGGAACACGCTACCCTTTTCACACCTCTCCCCCACGTTTGAACACTTTGACTTGCGCGGAAGGACGTTGCCTGATCCTGGGGCGATTGTCGGTATTGCCAATACCCCAGGCTTTGCGCATTTGAAGACGTTGAAGATGGTGCAAAGCGTGATGTGGTGTGGGCTCTGCCGTTCCTGTTGCAAGGTTCAGTTTAAAGACAGGCCGACGGGGGTGGTGTATGAAGGGGGGTCGGGGTTGCCTGTGAGTTCTGTTCTGCCTGGCGTTGAGAGAAAATTTGATGACGACGTACGTAGTTCCTCTACGCGCGTGTTCTGGCACCCCTTGAATACCTTGAAGAAGTTGTGATTGTCACACCCAACTATGGCTTTGGGCAGACTACATTGGGTTTAAATGCAGACTCAGACTCAAACGCGGACACGAATCCAGAAACGACCCCCACCTCCAAGACAAATGTAAACCCAAACTTATGGTCGGGTGAATGCGATTCCTGTATGGTGATGATGCAGATGGACGTGAATGATGCCTTCCGCGAGAAGTGGGTGGCCAGGAAGAGACGCGTCGGTCTGGCGTGCGGTGATGGCGATAACACTGATGGCTGGAAAGATGTGAGGCCACCGAAGTTGAGGAGGGTGGAGTACCAGTTCTCTGCAGCGGATGACGAGGAGGAGGAGATATTTGAGGATTACGAGGAAATGTTTGAGATTCGCGAGGACATGGGTACGAGTGATAGTGATCTGGATAATAATGGTTTGTAATGGGATTGAGTGGAGGGTTTGGTTTTTGGTGGGCGTCTCTGACTTCTGTTGATGGAGAGCATTCTGTTGACGCTTTGAGAAACAGGATTGGCAAGGCAATGGGAAGGGGATGCTGCTTCTCTCTGGACTTTCGACATCAGCTGCTGAGCCAGAATATCGCAGTGCCATAACCAGCTGTCTATGTTGTAAGCGGTCACTCGCGAATACATCCTTCGAAACGCACAAGAGCGGAGCGTGGAATGCATGCGCCTTATCAGACCGATTCGTCGTTGCCTCTCCTAACAGGACCTCCGGGGTGTTGTCTGTTGATTGATCCCCGAGTGGCGAGTGGGCAGTTGAAGTCGTCTCTGGATGACATCAGCCCAATTGCTTGACACATCGATAGATGTTACTTGTCTCTGGGTTGAGGATCACATGAACACCTATTCCTCCTCCAAACGGCACAAGGACGTGGAATGTATTCGGCTGATACTCCGAATCTCTTTAAGATCCTCCCGGTTGTTATCTTGGACTCCTTCCTGAGCGCATGAAGGCGGTGGTTGTGGAACAGATGTATTTCTCATTGTTCTTTGTCTATGCATCGTATCTTACCATGATCCTCATTAGGGCTCCCTTGGAAATGTACCATTGGATGAAGTGAACTATACCCGCTTTTGATGGCTGGTTAGTATGGAGATAGTCTGGGCGGTTTCTTTCCTACTTCTTCTGACTATACTCAGGCTTATCGCTCATCATGGACTGATCAAGCGCAGCAGAGGCGATGCAGTTATGGACGCCCATACCCACCTTTACTGCAATAGGCGCTGGCAAGACTTGTACCTCTACTTGTCTCCACGATGTCGTTGCCTCTTCCCCCAGAACTAATCAGCGAAATCATCTATTTCCTGATCTTCTCTGCCCCTCCGCGCTCCACTGCCCCAGAAAATCTTGGCTGTTCAACTAAACCCAGTTGGCTCACACTCAACGCGCTCAGCCTTACCTCAAGAACGTACCGTGCCCTCGCCCTTGAGGCTTGGTTCCACACTCTCTGCATCGAGTCGCCTGAGGATTTGGAATTTGTACGGTGTTGTTGGCCTGAGGTGGGAGCTAGATGGACGAAACACCTACACTGCATCCAAACCTACAGCAGCTACCTCTCCATTTGGGACCTCTCCGGTTTTCTGCACCTCTCCTCCATCCGGCTGGATTTTTCACCCATCATCACGCCGTCTTTCTATTCCCGCCTCGGCACGTCGTTCATCCTGCCGTTCTTCAACTTCTCCTCTTCGGTCGAACACCTTGACCTGCACGGATTGTCGTGGCCCTCTCCTGGGGTGCTCCAGAATATCCCTCGCACCCCGGGCCTTGAGCATCTGAAGACTCTGAAAATGAAGCAAGACACGGTGTGGTGTGGACTCTGCGGTGGGTCCTGTAGGGTCCGATTCAATGACAGGCCGACCGGGTTGGTATATGAGGGTGGTTATGGGTTGCCTGTGAGCTCCAATTTGCTTGATTTCTGAGTATTTGTGACGATGACATACTTAGATTGACTATGCGCGCGCTCTGGCCCCACTTGAATACCTCGAAGAAGTCGTGATCATTGTACCCAATCGCGGCTTTGGGTCAACCACACTTGGTCACGCCCCAACAACCCCAGATCCAGGTCCAAAAAGAAATTCGAATCCAAATCTATGGGCGGGAGAATGCGACAAGTGCATGAAGACCAAGTACGAGAATGACGCCTTCCGCCGGAAGTGGTTGGATAGGAAGAGAGGTGTCGGTGTGTGCCGCGATGCTGATGGCAAGATGAATACGAGGCCACCCAAGTTGAGGAGGGTGGAGTGGCGGTTTTGTGACGGATTTTGAAGACACCTTTACTGGTGATAGGCTGTACGTTTTTCGAATGAAACGAGGCGCAACAACACTCACGTAACAGCAGGTCCAAAAACGAGCTGAACGCCGCTGTTATTATCTACGTTCATCAACACGCATCTTTGGAGTAATCAGCACTTCGTGGTTGAAACTGCAGTCGAGTCCCGGAATGTGGCTCTATGCATGGCAACGTGGCCTGACAACTAAGAGGCCGAAGAGCATAGGACCAAGCAGCCTGAGAACGATCTCTTCTTCAAGTGGAGGAGCTGGCGGCTCGGGGGTTTGACTTGATTGTCTTTGGATGTCGAAAGACTCATGCGTGGACGCCAAGAGGGTGAGGGTTAGCGCCCCTCCTTAAAGTCGTGCGTAACTGAGATCAGGAGCAGTCATGGTACCTACGCCTGCGTATCTTACCGCAGTCTGAATACAACTTTGAACGAACTTGTCAATCTTTATTTGGCGACTGTCAGGCACAGCCAAGTATGCACAGCACGGAACATATACGACTGGACGTCACTAGACGCCCGCCTGGTTGACCTCTCTCTTTCGTGTCTCAACAAGTTGGAAGACAGCACCTCAGATGGTCTCAAATACGATTGAGTCCGACGGACGTCGCCAGAGTCCACCGCAAAGCTCGTCGGATGGTCGAGGAGGGGAACTTGTACGTTTAGCTCAAACTCTCTTCCACTCCGCAAACCAATGATTTCGAATGTGTCCAGGCTGAAACCCTTGACACAAGTGGTCCTCGTTACAGTTGCGTTCGTCGTTTATGGAGATTGCGCACAGTCTTACACAAGGATTGCACTGGTTTGATCAGTATATTACCGCTTATACACAACAGAAGGTCCAATCAGGTCCAAAAACCCGATCTACGCGAACAACCCATTCATCAGCCGGGCTCTGCCAAAGCTCATTACACCTCCGCGCACAGCCTCGTCCGTGAAAAAGCACATCTGCAAGATCGAGGGCTTGTCAGGAGCTGAAAGTTCTAGCTTATTCGAGTCGCTTTCTAGCCGAAGTGCTACCGCTGAATCTTCTAAATTGGTTCTCAAAGAGGATTCCGGGCTCGGATTGTCCAAGGATGACCCGATAGTCCTCGTGGTTGGGGTGGAAGATGTTAAAAACCGACAAGTGATCGCAACACAGCTGGTGGGTTTGCCTAAGGCTCTACCATTTGAGCCCCATTATGGTAACTTTCAACGCACTATCATTGACTTAGTGTTGCTCATCGCTATCCAGTCCATTACCGCCTCTACGACGGCGAAGAAGGTGCAACGACTTCCAAAACGGCGTTTGACATGGACGACTCTTCTTTGGGTCGCATCGACACGCTCGAGTCTCCATCGTCCCACCTCGAACACTCGCTTCATTGAGGTCTCAGGTCATGAAAGCCGAGGGACTCGTCAACCAAAATATTCAACTGTTTGAAGACATGGATAGAGAAGTCCCAATGAATGATAATGACGCTCACATATCTTTCCAAACACACGTGTATCCAGGGCATGACGGAGACCATCCCATAACGGTCGTTTGTGGCCAGCAGATTCGAGGAGAGGTTAAGGAAGTCCGGAATACGAACCAAATGGACCCAAGCTTCTCGAAGCAAATCAGAGGGGGCACGCTTTGGAGTAAGTAAAAGTGATATATCCGTATGATACATGGTTCTAAAGTTCCTTTTAGATCCAGATAAAAAAATTCAGGCGGACTGGCTGCCATTCCAGCGTCGCGAGATCATGTATACAGACGGCGTCAAAACGATGGGTTACATCTCTGGGCGCACGGGTAATATTTTTTTCCACAACACGAGAATCACACTCATATGTCCTTCGTAGCTCCCTATAGCGGATACATTGCGATAAACTCTGCTGGGCGAAAGGGCTGTGAGTTAATTGCTAGGCTTCTTGAATACCCAGAACGCTGATGATCGCTCTGCCAGTTGTCTCTGAGGGTGAGTAGCGAGTTTCCTTTAGCACTGCCTGCTTCCTGATGTACATTCGCTTCATCATCTATTTAGGTCACATCCGTTTTACTTAGTTATTAGAATTTTAGAAATTTCGGGTTTTTCAAATCAACTTACTTTGGGTATGGGGACTTTGCCGGATCAGCATTATACCTAGACGTATCCAACGTCCCTTTCCTTTGAATTGAGGTATGTGCAAATGGATTTGTTGTCGATCATCCTATCACTCTTGTGTGGCAGCAATACCGACAATGCATCTTGACATAATACATGATAGACATGAAATTGCGAGCCAGAGCCCAAGTCCTCGACATCTTCATAAGCTTCATATTGGGCGGATGCCAAGAACGTTACGGCCATTTGGCAAATTGTGAGCCGACCAGTCGACTTCGATTCGAGAGATGCTGTGAGGCGGAAACAGACAAGAGCATCCACGTTGGGATCATTGGTGTCTCTGGCACGACTTCATCGTAATTCTGATCTGTTACAGGTGAATTACGTTGGTAAGACTATAGCTTTCCAGCCATCGAACATCTGGACATCTTTTCCGTTCGTAACCTCGCCGCCAGATTGTTACTGTTCGATAGAGAAGGCGGTAGGCTTAGTCGCTAGTAGCAATCCGTACTTCAGTTCTCTGCTTTCAATTCTACGCGAAAATTGAAAAACGTACCCAGCTGACTCGGTCATTGCGCCACCAAGGAAGCTTCAAGTCTGGGGATGAGTTGGCAATTCTAAAACAAAAGGAATGTTAATTTTGAAAATCAACGTGATGTAGAACGACTTCACCGGTGACCGAATGCTTGTGCCCTTTTAGGATCAGCTTGCGCACCTCAACCCCTCCCCGGACACGTCACGTGACATTATCAAATCTTATATTCCAAGATCAACGTTCGACTTCGCACATTTTCTACGTTTCTTTACATATTTGATATATATATTGAGGGGAGAAAATAAACAGAACACAGCCTATTTATTGGACATATGAAAAAAATGGCTTCACGGTTATCCTGATTTGGCTCAAACTTTCATAAATAATGGCAGCAAACTTACCAGAAACTAACCCACTTGGCATTGAAAAAATGACTGTCGGAACTCACCATAATCCAGGTTACGGACTTTTTGAGCCATAAAACCAAATGCAAAAAATAATCTTACTACGGGAGTCGAACCTCACACCTTGAGCAATTGCAGTTCCCACGATACAGAGCTCAACCACCTAGGCCATAACAACATGCATACATATTTGAGCTGGTAGCAATATAATGCCTAAGATCGTGAATGTAACTGTAGTATATTCTCTCTCTAGATGACTATGTGTACATACACAAAAAGAAAATCTGCCTAAATTACATTTTTATTTATTGGAATACCGTAATATTATGCCAACCATGATCATATCGCGGTCTGAGCGAGATGGAGTACTAAAAAGATGGCGTTCAAGGTTCGAAGTGGTAAGTCACGTGACATGTCCGGGGAGGGGTTGAGGTGCGCAAGCTTTTAGGATCAGCTGCTCGTCCGGCTTTCGCTGTCCAATCTCCATTTCGAGTTGTTCCGGATCTTCGTCTCAGCCTTTCTCTTCTTCCCGGTCGAGGTGTTGATACAAGGATCGTTCTCAATGTGAATCTTGAGTAAACTGCAGAGTCTTGGGATAAATTCCGAAGCATAAAGTATCATGAGGCAGCAGCTCACTCAGCTATCAAGGCCGCTTAGTAGGTAGCTCCACGACATGTGCTAAGCCTGTAAAGCGACTGGGCGGGGGCGTAGCTTAGATGACAGAAAGTTAGCGGGGTTGCATGCACGCATACTTGTCCAAAGCTTACCATTCCATTCAACGAGCCTAAGACCCACGCCTACGGCACGGCGCTCGCTGGCGCTCGGCCGTTCCTTCACCGCAGGTCACGGCTCGCCGGGGGCATGCCCCCCGGACCCCCCGGTACACATCTTCAATCCCAGTTCCAGTACACATGTTTCATCCCAATCCCCATGTACATTTTTTATTCTAATCTTTATATGTTGGTGTAAATTACTGGTACATCTACATATATGATAAATTTTGCATCACAGTGGCAATTTTTCTGATATCTGTATGTGCCAAGTCCACAGTGCAGTGTGTTGGGCCCCAAACCCTGCTTCCACATAGCCAATAACTTGGCTGCTCCTACAACATGGGTCATAGCATGCTGGGGGCAGGCACTCTAACTCCAGTTTTTTGACATACCATCTTGCAAATTCAAATTGGTTCTGACTACCCATTAAACAGAGTGTTGAATATTTATTACATATCTTTATAAATGGTACTACTTCCGATTTAACATCTCTTACTGCTCTACCATGCCCCAATGTTTCTCATATTTTTGTACTGCGAAACCTCTCTTGTCATGCTATAAGACACCAACACATACAATAAATATATTTCTAACATGACCTTCCCTTACCTCCTCAGCTTTCCCAAAATCCTATTGGGCCAGAAACTATAGACTTCTAGTAGTTTTGAGAAATTAGATTATTTCTTCCTGGGTTTCTCGTCTCCATGGAATAAAATGACTAAATCTTTACTTATATTTGTGGAACTTCCTATGTCCTCTCCCAAATCAGCTCCCTAAGTCCCCATTTTATCTGGAAGATTTTTAACTCTCTTTTTTATACATTGTATTAAATCTATATACCTCCAGGCCTGTTGAGAATCTTCAATAATAAAACTATGAGCAACTTACTGAGTTACAAAAATACTAATCTTTGAATTTCCAATCACATATTGAATTAGATAGAATACTTCAATATATAGCTTTGAGAGGTGCACATATCCACATTGGCATTACACTTCCCCAATGAAGAGCTGGGGTGAAGGGATAAAATTCTGACATAAAACAACAAACCCATCCAACATACTCTCAGATGTGATAATAAGCCTCCAAAGATTATAGGCAGGGATGTTTAGAGTAACATTCCCAATCTCTCCCTGGAGTGAATTGAAATTAAATATTGCACATGCAAGAGGGGAAGAAAACAGAAACCCAAACATGATGATGGATAGATTACAGAACTAAGTGATTAGATCAACCAACTATAAAATTGTGATAGGTGACCCACCCAATGATAAATATTTTCTGACTGTAGAGCAGAGCTGATAGATTCAACCACAAAGAGCAGGCAATGTAAGAAAGTTTGTACAGAAATAGAATTTACACCTCTATGTATGTGCCTACAAACTGGCCTCTCAAGCAAGAGAGCATTTTAAAATATGTATAAAATACAGAGAAATATTTACCCAGAGTTGAGGAGGGTAGATGAGGTCAAGCTCAATATAAAGATGTGAGGTTCAGAGTGATTATATAAGATTTGTCATTGCTGACTCAGCTGAGTCAGCCTTACTCAGCCATCAAAAGGCTAAAAACATTGTGCCATTCTATATAGACAAGCTTTAGACCCGCACCTACGGCGCGGCACTCGCTAACGCTCAGCCGTGCCTCTGGTGCTGGTCACAGCTTGCCGGGGGCAAGCCCCCTGGACCCCCTGGTACACATGTTTAATCCCAGTTTTGGTACATATTTTTTATCCCAGTTCATGTTTAATCCCACTTTCAGTACACATAGTTAGACTTAAACCTAGACTTATACTACAGTACTCACTTCACTCAGTCATGCCTTGCCAGAGGCAAGTTGTCCCCCCAGCATACATGTCTGTTTCCAGTTAGTGATGTGCCAGGCCTTCTTGGGCCATTGTCAAGGCCCAGCAAAGCCCAAAGCAAGGTTGTACCTCACTTTGGAGAGGTACAGTAACCTTGCATGCTCATAATTGTTGCCAGCACCATCCTGGCTGAAGTTTTCTCTGCCATGGCTTCAGGAGAATATGCTGGAACTAAAGTAGGGACTGTCATGGATCGGCAATAACCGGGTATCATCCGTGGCCGTTGATACCCGGGTATTGCTAGATCCGATCTGTGGATATATATATATATCTGCAGATATCCGTAGATCCGTAGGCTATATTAGGTAGTTTAAAACTCCGACATCAGTTGGCACCTTTCCGTGGCTTATCATGTCAGATAAGCAGAGGAACTGCCATTTTCCTTCCCCATCCTGCCGCCATGCCTCCCAGAGGATCAAGAGGTGGTCGTGGACGTTCTCGTGGGGTTGCTGAGCCCCCCAAAACACCTCCACGTCCAATTGTATTCCAAATTGCTACACAAGAGGACTTTTCTAGGGAACTGGCTGCTATTCCACCTGACTCTGACGACGACAACACCATTGACCATCACAATAGTGCACCTATCATCGTTTCTCCTATCAAAAAACGTCATAAAGCAGTTTCTATTAATCAACAGTCTGATCTTGCGGTTTGGGCATTAGAAGATCAAGAGATCATTGGTAAGCATGCAAATATTATTCAAGTGTTTGAATATTTAGCTCATGCATTGACAAGATGCTGCTGTGGCTACTTGGCAGTCCAATGTCTACAGTCACTATGATGTCTCCTTGGTACGATGCTTGGATGAAGATACACAGACTCCACTTTCGATGTCCTTCAAGTTCACATGCAAGACCCATCCTCAGCACCATGTTGGTCCTCAGTTTCGCCAACGTACCAGAACAGGACAAGGAACCTCAAACTTGCAGAAGGATGTTGATCAGTGCTTGAAAAAGCAAGGTCTTGATCCACGTCCAAAATCTGAGTCTGCTATTCCATATTCTGAGGCTAACCATCATGCGCTTATTGCTCTTCGCTGTGCTAAAAGCGCTCGTCCTATCAATATGGTCATGGATGAGGATTATCTGGCTGAGGTTGAGATGCTCCGCCCAGGAACTGTTGTCCCTAGTCCAAATACCATTCAACGGGATCTTATGCATATCTATACTATGGCTTCAGTGTTTGTCGCGAATTATTTCATGGTGCCTTTCTACATTATATTTTGGTTCTATACAGCTAACCAAAATATTAGGCCTTAAATAGTGCCATTCATGTTGTTCTTGATGGGTGGACTGCCCCATTAGTTTCCTCATATCTGGGAATTGTCGTTGTTTGGTACAGTGAGGGTGTTATCCATCATGCAATACTTGAATTTATTCGGTAAGCAATCATCTCTTTAAGTCTAGCCAACTATGTTAAATACCAGTATATTAGATTGACTAAGAAACATACTGGACAGTATCTGGCTGAGTGTTTAGCCAGCTGCTTAAAGCGATTTGGCCTGGACAAAAAGGTAATTTCCCTCTCAAAATCAAAAAATCTATTGAAACTATCAATAGCTACTTGCACTCTGCATGGATAATGTACTTGCACTCTGCATGGATAATGCTTCAAACTGCACCAAGCTTGCAGAACTGCTGCCAAATTACCTTCCTGATTTTTGGGGTATGGATGCACATTTGCGCTGCCTGGCTCATATTGTCAATCTCATTGCCAAGGTAAAGACATCAATATATCAGAGAATTCCATCTTTGAAAACTTCTGTATAGATTTTCATCTCCTTCTTTTTCAAAAGGCCAAAAGTCAGGAAATCAGTTGTCATTCCATCTCAGAATGACGATGATGGTGAGGTTTCTGAGGAAGAGCATATCATAGATGCTGGTGACACCTCTGAGGATGATGAGAGTCCAGCTGTTGAGGAGGCTGTTATAGATGCTGAAGAGAATGTAGAGGATGATGGCCAGGTTGCTCATGATGATGCAGTTGTGCGCTCTGTTCATGATCATGCTATTCAGAAAATGGCTTCAACGGGAGTTACAATGACAGCTGAAGAAGAAAGGGAAGCATTGAAGCTTTTTCCTGCGGTATGTTTGCAACTTAATTCCAACTGCAGTTACCTCATCAATGTCATATAAGGTCTCGGGTCTTGCATGACGAATTCATGATAACTCAACTCTTGGCCAGAAGTTTCAGGAACTCATTGCAAATGATACTGAGTTGAAGTCTAACAAACAGGCTCTTGACTGTCGTGTAACAACACGCTGGAATTCTGACTTTGACTGTCTGGCTGCTCATCTGCATTTTAAAAACATCATACAGTCTCTCACTGGGGTGTCTGAGAACAAGCTAAAGGCATATTGTCTTTCTGATGAGCTATGGGATCTTGCAGAGGATGTTCAAGAGGCATTATTGGTATGATTAATTCTTCATATACAGTTTTGAATTTATCTCATGGAATTACAGCTCTTCAAAGACATCACTCTTCTTTTTTCTCAAGCAGAGGTACCACTCATTGTTGATGCATTGCCTATGCTCTACAATCTGCAAGAGAGCCTGCTTGCTGTTGTGGATGACACACCGCAGTTGTTGATGATAATGACGAAGGTGATGACTCGGATGATGATTTCTCAGCAAGACCAACTCCAGCTGTTATCCGAATTGCTGCATATGCAAGTGTTCAGCTGATTGACAGATATCTGGATCATCTGTGGGACTGTGAAATTTATGTTATTGCAATCAGTAAGCTTGAATCTTTTTTTAAACTCTTATCCACTTACTTGAAACAATTTAGTCCTGTGCCCAGATCGCAAAATGGCATGGTTCAAGGACCAAAAGCAATCTGCACAAAGGATACGCCAGATTAAGAAAATAGTTGTTGATCGTTGGAATGCATCATATGCACCAAATGAAGATGTAGTTCCAGAGAGGACTGAGGATAAAAAGGTATGTTATTTTTTTTATTGATATCAGTAGTTGAAACTTAACCGTTGATTATGAAAACAGATCTGGTCCAAGTGGGATTGATCACAATCATCTTCTGGAACATCCAAGTACCCTCTGGATCATATTCAAACATATCTGAAGGATGATACAGTCTCGACAACAGCAATTCGTGAAGTAGGGGGTTATATGAAATATTGGTTCCAAGCAAGAGACAACCAACCTATTCTCTCGAGAATGGGGCAGGATTTTTGTTCAGCACCAGGTGTGTTCTTTTTACATCCCACATGTAAATGTCTAGCTCATTTGTTTCAACAGCAACATCTGTTGATGCAGAGTGTGCATTTTCAACAGGGCGACGACAAGTATCTTTCATGCAACATAACATGAATTCACAGACCTTCAAAGCACGAATGGCAGTAGGGTCATGGGCCAAAACACCCATATTTCCAGCATTTTCTGTTATCAGTGACATGGTCAAAGATTCTATGAGAAGTGATTGAATTGGTGATTTTATTTTCAAAGAAAATGTATTTGTACTCAATCCAGATGATATGTGAATGGCTTTAGTTTGAATCTGAATTGTTCTGAATTTTCCCCTTGTAACACAATTTCTTTTGTAGAGAATGGACAAGAAATGAATGAGATATGTGCATTTGTCTAAGTTGAAACTACACCCCCAGCAGCTCAGGCCGTTTTACCCACGGATATACCCAGATTGTGCCTTATCTGATCCGTGGGTGGGAAAATCCGTGGATCAGGTACGGATAATACGCGGGTGTATCCATGACAGTCCCTAAACTAAAGTGACTTTGATACTGAACTTCACAGCAGCCTCGAGATGGTGTAAGTACTGGTTAAGACTGATAAATATTGGAATAGAAGAGAAATATTCAACCTCTTCTCTGAAAGTCTGCAAAAGTAGTGAGGTCAGCAATGAGTCCAAGCAAGTGTGAGATGCTTAGATACCTCATATGATGTTTCCAGATGGCATGCCTGAACCTTGATGTCCTAATTGTCCCAATGTGATGAGCAGCAGAGATAGGGGGTGCAGTGTTTGACATGGAGGTGCACTTGTAGAAATTTTGTTGTGGGTCCAAGACTAATTGATTGATTGTATGTGTTTTTTTGACTTTCACCCATAAGCCAGCCTTGAGCCTTGCAAAAAGCTCAGGCTTGAGTATGGTCAAGCCTGAGCCACCCAAAGTCGGGCCATAGCCATGGCTTTCAGGCCAAGCCAGGCCTGCACATCACTATAAATTCCAGTTCTGGTACACATCTCTAATCCCTATTTTGATACTTACACTTATTTCACTTCATTTGAATTTTCAAAGATACACTTTACAGACAGTGCTTTCAGAGTAGGATGGAAAAGTGTGATTTTTTGTAAGCATG